CACAACCTGTTGCAGTTACATATCCTACTTCCTATACAGCTTCCTTCCTTAACAGGATTGAAACGAGTTCCTTCAGCAAATGGTGGTAGTATAGAGTAAATCAGAAAACAGAGCTTGTGAAACAGAGCCAGCTTTGTATCAGGGAGTCCAAGTGACCAGAGAAATGTGGAAGAACAACTACTAAAATTCAATAATTTGATGGATTGTTGTTATTTGTGCTGCTTACTAAAGGAGAGAAGAGCAGGAGAGCAATAAACAAGAGGAGAAAAGAATGATGTATTCTGATGTCCCTTCCATGTGAAAGTTGATGATAAACATAATTCAGTAAGTAGAATCTTTCCCATCAAGGGATCTGAAAGACCAGAAGTGGTAGAATCAAAGAAAAGTAACTGAATAGTACGGTTAAGTTGCTTAACACTCGTGCAGTTGCTAACTACTCATGCAGTCAACTATAGGAGGAAGCATAGAGAACTTGAGAAAGAAGATGATGAGAGGGTCTGTGTGACGGTATACAGTGCTTACCAACGCCTCAAACTCTCTGGCAAGCATGGTGGTGTTAGTGTCCCCTGAGCTCATTGTGATGTAGCAGCAACAACATGCTTCAGTAGTCTAGTTACTACGTTCTTCGTTTATTGGGACTCAAGGCCACAGCAATAAAATATTTTATATTCAATTACCAAATTTGGCAATTTTAATTATGGCTCACCACAGGGCTCTCATGCCCCAGAAAAATGCCACTGTGGTGTTTTTCTTCCAGGAAGGTTTGGGTGGTGGTTGTGATGGTTGACAGTGAAGGTCTTTCGTTGTATAGGTGGTTGACGTGCAGATGCAGTGTTGGTAATGAGAAAGGTTAGTTAAAGGTATGATAGATGGAGAAGAAGAGTATTGCACAGTGTGCAGTATATAGAAATTAAGAAAATACAACATAAAATTGCTACCAAATCTATGAAAATATGAACCAAATCTATGGAAAGCTGATTATGCTATTGTGTGTAATAGTTGTTTTGAGATTTCCTTATAAATGTCAGGGGTAGGATGTATTACGCATTAAAAATGGTTTCAATTTCACGCTCTAATATTCAATTTTCATTGTATGATTAAGATAGTTCAGCCGTTTCTTATATCGCTTATCACTTGCACTGTGATTTTTAAGAGCTATGAACTGTTTTTAACTAATACTAATAACAAATATATGATACATTTTGTCTTAATTTATGGTTAATTGTCACTACAATGTGATGATGCGAAACAGATTTGTAGTCTACATTATTAGTCTGCACCTAGTTTAGTGGTCCATAACACTTGTAATATTATACATAAGATATAGTAGTAGAGATTAAGTAAATATTATATAGGGTATTTAGTGGTCCATCCAAGAATTTCACACCTTTGGAGAGGCAGTTCAGACATGAATACAGACGCATTGGAGATGTCCTATTGGTGATGCCAAATGTGGTCGCTTGCAGCTCTTCTTGGTCCTGGTCTCAACAGGGTGAGAGATTTGATTTAAATAGATACAGGAGGGTGTGATGTTACGGTTGAGAACATTCTGAAGGGTTAAAATGGGTGTGTTGTTGGATGAAAATTTTAATATAAGGTATATTTTTAATTCGTGGACGGATGATTTTGCACAATGAGGCACAATTGAGGTAGCAATTTATGATGATTAATACTAAATATAAATTAGTTTTAGGAAGAATAAAATACTTGTTTTTTCTAATATATTTTACCGCTTCATCAATAGTAAGTAAATAATTTTTAAGTTTAAGAAGAACAATTTGAGGTTTATTAACTTTAATGTTCAAAAACTAAAATACAAGGAAAAAAGAATGAACAAACTAGCTCATAAAACAACTAATCTGTACTAATCTGTACTGGCAAAATTCTCTGAAATTAAAAAAATGGATTAAAAATTGATTTCCAACATGACTCACAGTAAGTATATTCATTATGAACATATGAACTATATGATATATGTTAATATAAATTATGATTATAAAACATTAGAAACCTGCGTACAGTTTATTGCCAAGTCAGTGGTTACATATAAATTTTTGTCTCATTCAATAACTATACTATAATAATTTAGAAACCTCTGTAATAATGATGATGGTGATGATGGTCATAATGATGATGATGATAATAATATTAATATTAATATTAATAATAATATTAATATTAATAATAATAATAATAATAATAATAATAATAATAATAATAATAATAATAATAATAATCGAGCAAAGTGCACAGCGCCGGCTTCACAGTCGGGAGACCCGGGTTCAATCCCCGGGCCCGCCATATTGACTGGGGTTTTCGTGTTTTCCCTCGGTCATACAGACGAATGCTAAGATGGACCAATAAGCCCATGATCAACTCTCATCATCATCATCGCCATCACCACCGCCACCTTATTAGCTCATAATTCAAGGCTTTACAACCTTGTTTTACAAAGGGCTGCAGCTGAAACACTGATCCTTATAATGATACACGTTAATCTCTCTCTGGGATAGAATATGACGGCTTCAGAAGAGAATGTGTAGCGTGATCAGAAATGGCAAATATGCTAATAATATACTATTCACCAAAATAGTACTTATTTTATCATGAACCTGAATCTGTACTAAAGTCTTCATATTCTTCAAATAATTTTCAAGGTTTCCTTAAGATACAAGCAGGTAACTATTGGTAAAGTTAACCAAAGAAAACAAATTGTTGAAAGTTAAGTGTAAAAAACATTTTCTTTAAGAAAGTAATATTCACTTAATAATTACGGTCAAGCTCAAATTCTCCATTTTAGTGAATAGATATATCCAAAAAAAGAAATTCATATTATGTTATAAACAATACCATTATCAACACCCCATTCCCTGATTGTTTATTTACTTTTTATACTTACAAAATCTTTAAAACAATTACAAACGTTTTGTTAGTTAAGTTTACATGTTATATTATTCATGAATATTCTATTTGTCTTCTTAGAAAGAAAGAAGGGGAAAGAAAAAGAGAGAAGTAAAATGAAATATTTATAATTGACCCACTCCACCAAATGCCCCTTCGTTATGGGGGGAAAAAAGTTATACTTACAATTTTTCTCACATGTGATCAGTAGATCAGCTTGATGGTAATTTTTTCTTTCTCAACTCCCTGGAAGATAAAAGATATTCATAAAAATTAAGATTTTACTACAAATATAAACATCACAAAACAATGTGGCATCACAATAAATTGTTCAAATCATCACAGAAACATCAGAGAGAAAAAAATTTAACAAATGCTACATTGCACACTTAAATGCTTTCTACATCAGCTGTAATAATTCAACAAACTTATTATTACAGAATTTGTATGTAATTAAGGAAACCTTGCATTAATTGCGTTCGCTAAAGTCTCTACCCCAAAATTGAGTTTAGGAACAATACAAACATTTTGTTACAGAAAACTATTTTTGTAACAAATATAATTTCCTGTTCATTAGTTTAAACCTGGTAGACATGAATATTTCTGAAACTCATTTGCTAATATGTTCAATACAACAATTCTTCTGGGTTCTTTTAGAAATATAATTGAATATCTTTAATTACTGCAATGCCTCCAGAAATTCCAAATCTTCAGCCTCTGCATTTCCTAATATTTTGGGCCCAATTATAACATTTACACTGATATACTAATTGCAAGTATTAAAAAAATGGTTGCAAACATGAAAGGAAACATGATCTAACAACTAAGAATTTAAGTGAATACATTCTTTTGCAATATATTGAGTTCTTCAATAATGGGTAATTACACAAAAAAATGCAAAAAGAATTTTTAAAGAACATATTGGACATGGCACACTGAATTTTTAATACTAAATTCAATACTAGAATAATGAAACCAATTTTAGGTAATAAGAAAAAAAATCTTCAGATGAGCAATGTGGAAGTAGTTTAAACCAACAAATGATCCACTTGCTTATAACAGTAAATCAGGAAATTAGATATGTATCCTAAGAAAACATGACCCAATGAAACAAAATTATGGGAATAAGATTGTATCATCTCCAAAGGTGTAATAGATGTTATTCATTTTTATGAAAAAGGCTCATCAAAAAAGGTTTCAGCCAATAACGTCAACAAGGATAGAACCTGAACGAATTAAATACAACAATAAAAGGTACATATTCCGAGAAAAATATACGATCATTCTCAACCAGTTATTTTTATACCTGTCACACAGTAGAATGCGAAGAATTAATTTTATCATCAATGCTCTATAAAATGGGTGTTTGGGCAATTTGTGGTTTCACCGCAGAGAACAAGTGCTGCTAAAGCATAGTATCCATGTTTCTTAGTCGCTGAAGATGGAACGAATTCTTTTAAACATGTACGGCATGTAACATATTAGAATAATTACAGCGAAGGCACATTGTTTCCTTAGAGTTATACATGCTGTAATTACAAAATACTTGTTGCCTCTACCAATAATGAGACAAGGCATTAAAAAATATGTGCATAAACACTGCAAACAACAACAAAACTTTTGTACCATGAAAAATGAAATTTCAGATACCTAACATATGCATGTAAAATTACAATACACTCCACAGAAATAAAGAATAGACAGAACACAATGAACAAAATTTTGTGTTACAAGAAATATATCCGTACCTCAGAAGTCAAGAGTCCTACCACACAATTGTAATATTGGAATCATGGCTTCCTTTAACAAGCTTGAGTGGGACCTAACAAAGTTCGAGTTTACTGTTCTAAACATTAAAATACATTTTGCAATAATATTGATTTCAAAACAAAAAAATCACCAAAAAAATAGTTATGACTTTGAATCTCTAAGGTACAGGTAAAACTTTCTACACACTTCTTAATTTATACAACAGTTTAACCCTCAAACAACTTTTTTTAATTTGTTTCCCTGATCTGTCAGAATTAACATCAATTAATACTTAAATTTAAAAAGTGTCAATTCAGTTTCAACACAAAGTATTACTAAATGTTTGTTCTCTGGCCAATGTATATATTTCAGAAAACGTAATATTCCACATGGAGCCAAAGTCGTCCATGTGGCAAAGTTAAGAGAACTTTATCACAGTTTTTAAACCATCCGTTCTCTTCCATGAACAGTACAACTTGCTTGTGCCTTTTCTGCTAACCATTTTACACATGCCTCCAATTTCATTATTTGTATCATTTCATTAAACAAATAATTTTTGTACATCTTTAGACTGATGCCATCAAATGCTATCAAAGTGAATTGAAGTTGACAAAAGTGACATCTCTTGAAAGACAAGTAATTATAAAAATTATTGAAAGCATTTCCAGAAAAGAAATCACATTATTATTGCAAGGTGCTTTTGGGATTTTGTAATGAACTTCACAATATTAGTATCGTTTTTGAAAGCAAATAAGTCCTATCCAATAAAACAATATATATTTTATGAAACAATGAAATACCTCCACTATTTGCTGAACTCAACCGTGCTCCAAGTGATAAAATATGACAGTAGAAATAAATCCTGAAAAAGGAAAAAACACATGGATGAAGCAATATATTCAAATGCACAACACTGATACAACTCATATCACATTCACTTGACAAGTCAAAAATGTTGATTAAGTTGCAATCTCAGAGCCTTAATCTCTTCTTTCTACCTGCAGGGCAAGAAGTAAGTAATTTTGAATTAGAATAATTTTCCAAGAATTGTCAAGGCTCATCTTGCCTTAACCTTCACTCCAACGATTCACCCTTTCCATACAGATTTGTCTACTTCAAAAATAATACCTCCTCATGCAGTATGAATTTAAATACTTAGATGTGAACTGCCTCAACACTCTGTTCAGTATTCCCTTTTTTCTATTTTTTTCATTCTTGAAATCATCAAAGATAAAAAGTCTTTTGAATAAATATGAATAACATAGAACGCCCACGATTTTTTATTAATTTATTATCATGTTACCTTCAAAACTTAAAAATGTTTGATCAAGACGAATAATAATGCAATACACATCCATTCAATTGTCAACAAATATCTTTGTATGATGTGCCATAACAGAAACACTGCAAAATGCTAAAGAAATCCACTATACACAATGTATGGTACGTAATATAGACTTGGTCGATATTCCAAAGAAATTTAATCGTTATTAATAATAATAATGATAATGCATTTCATTCCTGAATCCATTATATTTCTATCGAATTTGAAAAATAAGAAGCAAATGGGTACAAAAGTAAACACTTCACTATTAATAATTATAACGTTATGATAGATCTGCGATCATACATTTTTCACCATCTCGCAATCTTAAGCTCAATGATTTCCATTTCATTCCACAGGTAAAATTCACACGTCGTAATAAAAGGATGCAGGCCGAGCTACTAGGAGTGAATACGTTAATGATGGTCGTTAGGGTTTTTCCCAACCAAACTGCATACCATAATTATTTTACTCATCAATGTAGCATTTAACCTTAATGAAGATTCATCACAGATTCACAACTCGTCTTTTCAAACAGAAAACCGTTTGACATAACCCCAAAAAGGCCTACAATACGTTGCACTGGAATTCACAATATTGACTAGGTTAATTAATGAAAGTACATACTTACGTGACACAAAAAAATACATTTTTGGATAACTTGAGCTATGTTAATAACCATGTTCAGCGTGTCTCAACTGATGAAAAAACTCAAAATAAACAAGAGGTATACAAGTAAGAAACATCAAAGAGCTCCGCCATTGCATGACAAGTGACAACACATGTCCCAGTGTTACCACAACTTAGTGGAGAAATTACAATTTCATGGAGTGAAAATTATCGACTATCCTAATCATAAAATCATCCTACAACTTGATGCAGTTCAGAATCGATTACTTTTAATTATTTAAAGTAGTAACTGTTACATTTTTACCATTTTCCGTTTCTATGTCATTTTATTGTCTTGTTCAGGGCAAAACGTGGTAGAGTGGTCATTCGCTTTCCACATTGACTGGGCAATACTCGGATTTGAATTTGATGGAATTTAAACCAGTCTTTGGGGGTACTTTACTTGATGCAGCTGATATATTTGCTAAGTTTTCTTAAAAATGACACCACCAAGAGAAATGGCTCAGGGCATAAACTGATGTCACTCCAGTCCCTTTGACCAGGAGGTCCTAGGTTCGAGTCCCAACGGTGGCATAAGTTTCGGCACCAGTTCAGCTAGGTCGAATTCAGTCGCTGTTTGGAGGAGATTTCTAGTGGCCAGCTGTCCAATGAACACTAGGCGAATACCGAAGCAGTACCCTAACAAACGGGCCACGGCTCTGGACATTTGTCATCCACTGGGCTCACCACTACCGCGTTTGATAAATTATGCACTACACTTACGGGAACAACGGCCTTATTTGTTCTTCCTTGTCTTATCCTCTCCCCTTACACTAACACTCACGTCACAAGCACACGTGCTGGGTTACCGGTCGGAAGCTTAGAGCTTGTTCCGGTTGGGGGGGTGCCCCGCTGGTGGGAGATACCTGGTTAGGAAAACCCCGCTAGCCGATAGATTGGCGTCGCATCTCGCCATACACCGGAGGGCAGACCCCCCCAAGTAAAACACACACTACGCTTACGGGACCAACAACTTCTGTTGTTAAAGCGCTTGGAATCACAAACAACCAACCAATCAAAAATGACACCACTTTTTTCTTAGATATCTAGAAGAGTGAAATAGAAGTATATAGCTGGAATAGGTCCGATATTCATTATTAACTCTGATTTTTTTTATTTCAAACAAAAGTTTGAAACATTTTCGGCGACTTTCTACAATTACAATATTTAAGATGGAGATTTTTTTCTAATGAAATTTGTTTTTAAGAATTCATATGATGTCTCGAAAATTCAAATTTTTTCTGTGAAAATGAGCTCATAGTTTCACACTTTCAGAAAGGTGCAGACTTCATTTTCTCGAAAACAGTTTCAAACATTTTGTACGGATATATTCTTTTGTTTAATTGTTTTTTGTTTTTCAAAAATTAAAGAAGTAATTTTTTGACATATCTCTCTCGCTATTAATATTTACTTGACCGGCTATTTGTATACATTTTTGCATTTGCGAGTAGAAGTGTTGTAATAGATTTCTAATGGAGTTTCTCGAAAACTCCAGTTTGGGGTGAAAATGAGCTTCAAAACGTGCTTTTTCAAAAACGCTTCATAGACAACGGACAGATGGACGAACGGACAGATGGACGGACGGACAGACGGACCGACGGACGGATGGACGGACGGATGGACGGACGGATGGACGGACGGACGGACAGACGAACGGACGCTTTGAAAAAAACAACAACAGTTTTTATGTGTCAGAGGCACCCAAAAATGTATTTTCATTGAAATCTCGAAAGCGATTTTAGGCAGCTTTACATTACTTACTGTACACTACGTATATTTGTCCGTATATACGTACGTATACGAGAAAGTAACTAGTGCTGCTACAAATTGGAAAATACTTTCTCCTTCTTGTTAATTACTATTTGTTTGGTCTCGGCTAGCTATTCGGACTTAACACATGCTCTTGCCAGCTGCTATGTATCGCCCAAAGTACTTTTTTTTTCCCACATTTTCTTAATTTTTCGGTTTTTTATAGTAGAATGGAAATATTACTTTAGGAGTATTCAAGAACAAATGGCAAGTTTCTTTAACAAATTTGAAGGGTTTTTTTAAAAAATGGCGTTTTAGCGCTACTGTAAATTCGAAATTTGAAGCTCTTTTTCACAGAAACTTTTTGAGTTTTCGAAAAACTTCATTACAAATCATTTGAAGCACTTTAACTTACAAGTACAATAGTTGTTACAACTTTCAGGAAATGTGCGTAATGAAGGTGTGAGAGATCATTAAAAAATTACATTTGTGTAATTTTTGAAGAAACAAAAGGATACCCTAAAATGAACCGTACGTCATATTAAAGAGTACAATTAGCACTATTCGCCCGAAAAGCTTGAAGAAAAAAAATTGGAGCCGTTTTTGAGAAATATGGTTTTTGAAAGTGTGGAATTTTATGTTAATTTTCGCTTAAAACTATTGTTACCCGAAAGTTTATGTAACATTATTTAAAGCACTTGTATTCACAAATGTAATAATGTGAACAAATTGTCGCCAATGTAAATACTTATAACGTGAAAGATAAGTCAAGAAATTTTATTTCTATTTTTGGAAAAACAAAAGAGTAAAGCAAACTAATGTTTATGTCATATCGTAGTGTGCATTTAGCACTATTTCCACCAACAGTCTATTTAGACTATTAACAATTTGGAGCCGTTTAAAAAAAAATGTTTTCGTAACTTTTTTTTTTTTTTTGTTGCAAATATGTGTGTTCGTACCGGAAGACTCACTAAGTAAGATACCTGAAGCCATACTGATCACATACAAAGGAAGAAGAAACTGGATTTACAAGTCTAGCGGAACTATTAAATGTTTTCACTGAAAGGAAGAAGGGCGCATTGCAAAAAACTGCAAAGATATAGCAGACATTAACTCCAACCAATAGGAGAGAATAAGTCACACAAAGCTCACATATGCCCATCTGATCACCGGGAAAGCGGCTGTTGTATGTAATGTTTCTATGTATATTAATCTTTTTTTTCTGTGCCCCAGGTTTGAAGCCGACCGGACGAGACATGGTCCATGACATATATATATATATATATATATATATATATATATATATATATATATATATATATAATACACCATGCATAAAAATAATGTTATTGTGTAGATGTTGCTAATAACCTCTGTAGTTGATGCAAGAGAAAACAAACAAACGGTATAAATATACGATATATTTAAAAACTGACGTGATACGACGTTTTCATTGTGATATTCGTAATGTACGTATAAAATTGAGTACGTTGCGCACTCACGTACAAATCTTGTTCCCTAGTGTTATTAATTCATTAATATACAATTCATCTCCTAATTCAATTTTATCTTCATTCCATTGACAACAATAGCCGACTTTGCGCCAACCAAAAGCGCATATCTGTTCTCTTGTCTGAAGATGGATACTAGTTTTATTCAAGAATGACCTCCGACCTGGACAATCACCTCTTCATTTTTAGTTTAAAGAATAGTTATACATTGGGAGCAGATTTTCATTACCTAAAACATTGCCAAAAATTATCAATAAAATGCTCCTAAAATGTTTTTAAAATGCCTTAAAGCAAAGAAAAATGACGAAAAACGTGAGATCAAAACCAGTTCGGATGAACAACTCATGCTCTTGGATACGTTACTGATGTAATCGTGGCTTCTTCCTTTCGTTCAAGTGAACTCATCTTGTAATATTTTGGTTTGGATTGTTCTTTACCAAAAAAATCTCTCTGTAGTTTTCCCGAAATCGACTGAACCGCCAATGGCGCTGACAAGCGTCACAGGAATCTTAGATGACATTCTCTCTATGACCGACATTACTACTTCTGAGCGAAGAATCAAATAGGCTATCAGATACAGGTACTCAAGAATTCTGTGCAGAAAATTTGTTGCATCCCGTAAATACTATTTGAAGCAAGTACCATTAAAATTGTATTAAAATTTATGAAATCATCAGGAAAGTATAAAAATGAGTCATTTCCCTTTGTCATAACATGAAATGAATTTTTATACTAAACGGCATTTTTCTAATGTGAAAAGAAAAAAAGACATTTCATTAAAATCCACCTTAGTCATAAAGTTGAAAGCTGTGAAAAAGCTGTTAAAATAATCCATGATTTTCATGGACCTCTGAGAGGAGATGAGCGAAAGCAATTTATGTCGTGTTTTGTTCAAGAACACCATTCACTTTACCCATATTGCAAGAAAGACACTGAAGAAAGTTCTCACAAAACTGGAACAACCCTATAAGAGTATAAAATGTCAAAATTAATTAAATTGTAATATAAAATTATAAAATTAACATGTTTCCGTAGTTTTCCATTGACAACACTAATCATCCCTAATATTCGAATTTCGTGCCAAGTCAGCACTAGTTAATATCGGCCTATTGAAATGATTTTTTTATATTTTTGAGTAAATTTGAACAAATGGAAAATATTAGGGATGAGCCCCCCAAAATTAGTAATTTCTTTTTGCAATATAAGGGACATCTTAAATGTAATAATTGTCAAAACACAAACAAAGGTTTTGATTGATTGGTTGATTAGTGAATCCCGACAACAGCTAGGGCGACGTCAACAGCTACATTCATATGTCCTGAAAGTGTAGTGCATGTTTTATCGCTTGAGGGGCTTCACATTTGGGTGTAGCAGTGAGAGGCCGGATTTCACCCTCTGCACCAGAGGCCCCGCAAACGTAGGCGCGATTCTGCACATTCATTACATCTCTTTGGTACAAATATCGAAAATTAGTACATTTTATTTTTCATATATTTGAATGTTTTGTGTGAATGGAAGTGATATTTAAATATTAGTGTCAATAAAACGTAAAATAATAGTGAAAACTGCCAATAAAACAGCTTAAAGTGAAATACTGTTTATTGTGAACAGTTTTCGTTACAATTTACTCTGCATATTTAAGGAATAATAATGTCTATTTTCGTGTTTCAACAGCGACCGGTTTTAATTTTGGCGTCAGGCCATGTGACGGTGATAGTCACGGGACGGAAGTCCGACAGCGCGCATCATGCGTCGTTTTTTCTACGGTAAAGCAGGGTTACTGGGGAAGAAAAGGTTGCCGAGGGTTTCATTTTAAACATTTAATGTAACTTGTTTTTAATTTG